TCTTCTTGTTTTGATTTACTTTTTTGAATATCTTTCATTTCAATACTTTTACTTCCATATTTCTTTGGACGCTCTAAACAATCCTTTGTTGTATGTTCACTAGATCCACAATTTTTGCATCGTTCTTTTTTTAATACACTCTTCCCTTTAGAATATTGTTTAGGCATCTTAATGTCAATTTATGTATAACTCAGTTAGATTTTTTCTAGTTCATTATAGTATCTTAATTAATAAAAACAATATTATTTCTTATCCTACTTTAAATGACACATTATCATTAACTTTATTACTTTCTCTCATTAGGTATTCTTTTTCGTTCCAATCTCTTTTCTATTGGTGTTATTTAATGAGACATTAGCACTAACTGTGAAACACAACTATATTTTCTGTCAATCATTCGTAATTTATTATCCTCAACTATCTTTTTTTAAATACTCTCTATGAAAGATGGAAATACTATGTGTCAAGTTATTAGTGTAGGTGATGGTTCTAATCATTTAGTTATGAAAGAGGAAAGCCTCATGGACTAGATAAAATAAACCACTTCTCTTATTACAATTATTAAATAATGACAATTTTAGTCATTCAGAATGTCATGAATAATGCATTTGACTTGTTTTAAACACAATACTATGACTTATATCTTAATTAAATATTTCTTAAGGAGAAAGTTTGTTTAAATTATTAATTATGTTTTAATGTCGATATGAAACATAAGAAGTAGTAAATAGGAATGAATTACCACCATGAGAACCATCCTTTCTTTTCTAATGAAGGATATTCTAAATATTGTGAACAAGCATCAATCATTAAAGCCTTATCTCCTGTTTTTTCTTTCCATAAACTCTTTAACAATTCAACAACTAATTGATGGGTGCAAGTTAAAGTAGTTTCTAATCTTTTTCTTTCTGAAGCCTCAACAGAAGGAGTTAATTCGTCGATAGTATCAATAAGTTCTCTTAGTTGGGTATAACTTTCTTTTAATTTATTTTGGTTAAATAATGAAAGACAATGATAATAATTCTGATAGCATTGCCAACTTGATATTTGCCAAGTTTTAGGATTTGGTTTTTTCTTTTCCATATAAATTAATTTAGAATATTCAGCCATAACAATATCTAATTTTCCATTTGAGTCTATATGTTCACTTCCAAGAGAAAATTGTCCTAAATGCTTTTCTAATTCATTAATGTTTTCAATAATTTCTGCAACACTTAATTTATATTTCTCTTCTCTAGCATAATCTAATAACTCTTTATACATCATTCTATTAGCAATTTTTTTATTAGAAATCATTTTATTACAATGACTTACTGCTTTCTGGATAATGTTCATTCGTTCTA